GGGTCATCTTATTTACCAAAAAAAAAAAAGAAGAGGATGACTCATTTTGTTGCTTCCCATCTCACATCCAAAGACAGGATGAGATATGACTCATCCTGATGTCTCCTCTCATCCTATCCCATCATCACGCAAATCAAACATACTCTAAAAGGGAAGCACTAATGTAAGAAGTTCCAAACGCTAAATATCCGGAAAGCATGTTTTTCTTCCCTTTTTCTTGAGAAGGGGAGGGCTGGGGAAGAGGGAAAAAATCAGCTGTGAACAAAAATAAACAGCAAAGTGTATCCAGTTACTCAGCAATAAACTCTGTTTAGACACTCTATTTTGCAGAGCAAGAGAAGGTCTGTGGGTGAGATCATAATCAATTTGAGGATACAGATTTAAGATCTGCCACGAAAATACATCTGTTACTGACGGACTCGAGGAAGCATATTACCTTTTTTGTTACAAATTAAGGCAGTACAAGATACGAATACAAAAATATGAAGATACTAAACTCATCAATTTGCAAAAGGAAGATAAAAAGGTCTCCCACATAACGAAAGATGCATTTCACAGAGAAACAAAAGAAGCAAAAAAAAAAATGACTTGCATTATTCGGTATAGATGGTTATAAAAGACAAGGTGCATGCCCCTCAAACAGTTATCCCTAATTGTTGCTTTCCTAGACGTTCCATTTACACCTACTATAATGCAACAGCAACAGATAAAAAATCACTGCACTAACAAATCAAATACTTCATGCTTGATCTTAGCATGACATTCTTTGCTTGTCTAATACTGGACATTCCCTTGAATGATCTGCAGATGTATGTGAAAGTATTGATTCATTATTTTCTCTCTTAGTCTGTTTTTAACTACAAAAATCTTTTTTGACCAAAGTTTTATTTTTACTAAATGTCGATCAAATTGTACTGACATATAGTAAATATGAAACTTGTCCTGGAATCTTTGGATCAGTATGACGGTGCAAGCAGAATAGTAGAGGTGATTGGAACACTTGTGGTTTATATTTGGCAGTTGCTCACTACTTAGAAAAGGAGGACACTTTCTAGAACCTGGATACAACCGCAGTGTACTCCCAATTCAGCTCCACAGAACACAACAGAAAGCTAAACAGTCAGACAACTCACTGATTGAGCTTCCTCTTGAGGTGTCAATGGCCGATTAGGCCGATAAGTGTGGTTTTGTCGTTTTGCCCATAGCCAATAACGCTGAAATTGCACCGGTATACCCAATTCCTTAGCAACTTCCTCCTGAAAAAAGACTTACATTAGATAACAACAAATATAAGAGATACAAGGATTGACCAAATAGACAAAAATAGGCTATCTAACTGCTTGACTTAGCATACAAAAAGCTGAACCATCATATCCCAGCCATGAGATTCCATTTTCTGAGAATCATTCACCTAATTTTGCAATCAGAATTGTCTTATCACTCAAGGTTAGACATTAAAATCTGAATATCAAAATCTACATCCCATTACACCATATTTGAGAAGTCATAAAAGTTGCACATGACTCTCCACTATTGGGACTTGGACTCCAAGAATCTATAAGGTCTTTTAAATTATGTTACCAAATCATCTAAAAGCTTATATTGTTTGAGATGGGACACTTTTATCTATTGTTTTATGGCTGCAACATGCCCCCTCACATGAGGACCTAATTTTTTTATAGGACCCAATTTTTTTCTTTTTGATGAAGAGGACCCAAATTTTTTCTTGAGCGAAGCACATGGAGATATTTTGTTCAAGGGTATCTGTGCAACTTGAAATCAGAACTTGTGTCTGCTACAATACCATATTGAATTATGTAACTACCCAATCTAAAAAACGAAGTTGTTTAAGAGGAGACATTTCTCTTGTGTTTGTAGTTCTGAAGCAAATTTTATGCAGTATGTACATATTGTGCTTCATAAGAGCAACCAAATCAGCAATGACGATGTAAATTTTCAAAATCTGTACAAAAATTAATATTTAGCAAGTCTGTACAACTACAAAATGCAAAACAATGACAAAAAATACCTTGAATTGTGTAAATGCCATCTGTTTCTGGATACGGAAACTACGGACTTTGTCATGATCCACAAGATCAAAATAAATCTCTTTTCCAATTTGTTCGCCAAGGTCTTCATCACGAGCAACCTAAGTATATAACACGAGCGTTTTCAGTAAGATTTCCAAATTACAAAGATGCAAGCAGTAAAGGGGTAGGAACTAGGTTTTGAAGGAAACCTTGATTATTGTATAAAGGTGAGCCTCTGCTTTTTCCTTTCTCTTTTGCTCCTTTTCATCTTGCTCTTTCTTCAGCCTTACCTGCAAAATGTTAATAGAAGATGACACAACTCAACCATAATATCAAAAATTAAATGGACAGAGGTCTATCGTACACCCACCCTGAGATGCTCCGCTATGTCCTTTTCGTCCACATTGCAGATAATCTTTTCTTTGTCACTTTCACGTATATAAACAAGCATATATGCATTTGAATATTTTGTAAATTTGAATGGTGAATTGTTGAACCCAGGGTTTGCATGAGGTAACTGTTGCAAGAAGCGGAGAATGAACATCAACTACAATACACGAAAAATAATAGACATGCATATAACTTCAAGACAACAAAAATTGGACAAATACCTCCTCCTCACCACCATATTGTTCTTCCAAAGCCCTCTTTGAATCTTCTTTTGTCACACGCTCATCATCAAATTTAAACCTAAAAGTAATAAGCAAGTTGTGAATCTTAATCAAGATGAGCAGTAGAAACTAGAAAGATTATGCCAAGGAAGTGAAATAGCTATAAACAATACTCAAAGAGCCACTGCTTCCCAAAATCAATCATGCATCTTTCTATTTCGAAAAGAAAAAAGAACAGGAGGATAACTTATGTTGCCTTAAAGATGATTGAATTTTCTTTCTGCAACCCAGAGTATCAGAGTAACTGAGAGAATGTAAAAAAAAATACATGGCACAGAAAAATCAAAGAATTAAAGGACAATGAAACAAGTCTACTGACTGCAGCATACTCTACATACCATTGATCAGAGAGTGTTGGCCTGATATAAGCATAATAGTGTCCCCCATGGACCCCACCACTGTGAACCAGAACACTGAAAACAAAACAAAAAAGAACAAAAGATCATCACCTAGTCATCATGTCATTCAGAAATCTATGTCAAGTATACAAAGATTAAGAATCCAAAGATATTATGGTCTAGACTGCAAAAGTAAACCCGTATATCATTCTTTTCACAACGCAAGAAGAATTTATCAAACTAGAACACATAATGGAGGAGGGATAGATGAAAAGAACATTCCCAATCGCAAATGCAGCTAGTAGAGGGCGGGGGAAAGGGAGAGAGAGAAAAAAAGGAGGAACTAAGTTTCCATTTGGACAGCATCATCCAATTATATAGGTACCTGATTAAGCGAAAAAGGTAAAGAACATTTTAAAATTAGAGTCCTCCGTACATGGATAGGAGACTAAGAACTCCAGCTGTGTAAACTCCTATTAGGAGGGAGTTGACTCACCTACGAGCAATCATGCTACTAAACTTTCAAGTGTGTAGCACAATATAGTAACAAGATGACATTCAAGATTAACCACTGCTAAAAATTTGAAAGGAGTACTTGGAAGTGCAGAAACACTTTAATCAAATAAACATGTATCAAGCCATAAGGAAGAAGTGACTTCGAAGTTCTATGATAAAGTTTGCAGGCATTAAAATAAGGTTAAAATTTGAGGTAGAGCATACAACATAAGTCCAACACCAAGTTTCTAAATCCTGCTATCCTTCGGGCAAAAGCAAGTCATGTCCATATTAGCATACCCCTAGCATCATGACTGATGCATGATTTCTGACACTACGATGCTATAGCGGACAACAGAAGTCAGCATTGAAAAGAAAACTAATTTACACAATCAAAGTAAATTAACTTGGAAAAAGAAGATGCACAATAGGTAGGGGTCACACCTCATGAACCAACACATGAAACTTGCTTGGGACAAAAAAAAACCTCGGTTCATGATAAGGACCTCTATTTCCCACTTTACATGTTTACCAGCATTCTGCTGTAAAATGTTTCAAGTGGAACTCAAAGTGATGGAATGCGAAAGTAAGAGTCTTACCTATTGATACCACTGCAGTGTTGTTAGAGTTTCAAATTGGAAAGTTCGCAGAAGATGAAAGAATATAAGCCCAATTTGATAAAGGGAGTTACAAAAAAGATTATATTTCTCGACAGATGGCTGATTTTGCACAACCAAGCGAGTGGGAAATCATGTTGTTAGAAGCATTCTTATTATGTCTCAGAAACTCAAAAACCTCCAGAACATCTAGCCTAAATAAGCCTCATTGTCAAGTAAAAGTTTACTGGCTAAGGTGAACAGCACAGAATTATGCATAACCGTAGGTAGAAAAGGAAGAAGTAAACAGAGCGATGAAATTGATACGGATATTGAGGCTCTTATGAATAGATGATTCAAATTTGTCTGCAAAAACAGGTAGATCTGAACCGCTCAACTAATCACAAGCATAAAGTAAGGAAATATACCAAAAAAGAAATTAAGCTGGGTTTGTTGTTTTTGTTGTTGGCAAATGTGACATGACCAAGAAATTCTCTCAATACAACTACATGCCATGATGAAATCACATCCCAAATGGCAAGAAAAAGAGCATTAAGAAAATAAAAAAAACATCTATGCTTCATCCTAGAAAAAAAAAAGTTGATACCTGTGAAGCGTATAGAGATTGCGAACACTTCGATCTGCATCAGGAGATAAGTATTTGCCATTCTCTCTATCAAGATCGAGTTCTAAAGGAAACTCATATCTGTCGTTTATCTATTTAATCAATTCAAAATAGATTCAGTAATTATTCTTTTTTTATAGGAAAGAGATTTAGCAATGATTAACACAAGGAAAGCATACTGCATTAATTAGCAAGCAGGAGGAAGATAAAGGTCAGATCAGTTTAAAGCTACTAAAACAGTGATCCAGGGATGAGTTAATTCCTTAACCTCAATATCAAAAAGAGATAAAAGTAAAGACCAGATGTCAGGTAGATCGTAAAAAGAAGTGTCGACCTAGCAAAAACAAGACTTCTAATATTGTCCTACCCCTACTTTCAGCTCCCACAGTAATTATTCATTCTTTCTTTACAATTAGGGCATTTTATAAGTTCCAGTATTGTCAATCCGTTTCTTTCTTTAGTTTCTTTCCTAACAGAATAAGCTGAAAAGTTAGGAATAAGACTTAGCTTCGCACTGACAAGGAGACTCTCACATTCATTTCCATCTCTTTTTGTTTTAAGCCTATTTGGAGATATTGGCATTAAGAGTTAATAAATTTAGTCACATATATTTACCTTCTTAAGTCGTTGACTGATAATTCTAGGTTGCTAATGATTAAGGTAGCAATGAAATGGGAAGAACCACATAACATAGAATTACTGACATCATGGCATATTTCAGACGTTTTCTAAAGGTCAATGAAACTTGGGAGGGATATAAGTTCAAATCTCAGTAGAGGAAGAAAAAGAATATGTAATGACTAGATCGGTCGTTTTGAGCTTTAGCATTTCCGTTCGCCGGTTTCAGATGTTGAGTAGCTTCATATGATGCACTATGACTTGCGTGTATGGTTAGTTTTGACGTTCGCGAGGTTCGGGATTTATTTGATAAAGTGATTCTCAAATTCGAAGCTTTAAATTGGAAGAGTTGACCAAAGTTTGACTTTTGGCGAATGACCTCGGAATCGAGATTTGATTAGGTTCGCATGGTGATTTTGGACTTGGGAGCATGTTCGAGTTTCAATTTGGATGTTCCTGGAAGGTTTTGGCTCTATTTGTCAAAAGTTGGCAATTGGAAGAATTGGAGAGTTCATAGGTTTGACCAGGAGTTGACTTTGGTGCTATCAAACTCCTATTGTACATTTTAGACCTTGGATAGGTTCAATTGGTTGACTGGAACTTATGTGCAAAGTTTGGTTGTGATCCGGAATGTCTAAGTGAAGTTCGAACGCGTTCGGCGAAGTTTGAATGTTTGAAATTTAAGAGAATGAATTGATCTTCGATTCTTAGTTTTGATGTTATTTGTGGTGTTTCGAACCTTTGGATAAGTTTGGATGATGTATTCGGACTTGTTGGTATGATCGAACGGGGTCCTGAGGGGCTCGAGTGTGATTCAGACTGGTTTCGAACCATTTTGGTTGAGTTTGGAGCTGTTATGTTGCTAGTGTGACACAGTGCTTCACGATCGCGGAGAAGGATTTGGCAGGCTGTCGGCGAGAATGGAGTCACGTTCGTGTAGTGTATTTGGGAACTGGGGGCTTGGTGCTTCGTGTTCGCATACATGACCTTGCGTTCGCGAAGTGTTGCAAGAGGACGGGTGGCAGTCTTCTGCGTTCGCGTTTGGACTCTCTCGTTCGACGTGTGGAGAAGCCAGTTGGCTTTCACGTTCACATGGTGTGCGCCACATTCGCTTAGAAGGGCAGGAGCAGAGCTTATTTGTGCATCGCGATCGCATGGGCTAGGCCGCGATCGCAAAGGTATTTTGCCAGCAGTGATTTTGCCCATATTTTGAGTCCTTGACTTGGGTTTTGACCATGTGGGCCCAGGTTGACTTTTGTTGACTTTTGATTAAACTTTGAAGCTTTGTTGTTTGGAATTGATTTCCATAGCTTTGTTTGACGTTATTGAGTTGTATTTGACTAGATTCGAGTCGTTTGATGTCGGGTTTGAAAGGAAAACGTTGTTGTTGTTGATTAAAGCTTGTCGGGTAGAGGTAAGTCTCTTGTCTATCCTGGTAAGAGGGAACTCTCCCAATAGGTAACCTATTTGCTATTTGTTGCTCAGTTTAGGAGCCACATATATCCGAAGTGACGAGTGTATATGTGTAGCTAGATTATTGCTATATCCGATAAATGTTTGGCTTATGTTTATGCCTTGTTTGGACTATGTGAGCTTATTATTCATGATTCCATGACTACATGATGGCTCGTATTTGTGAGTTAAAAGCATGTGTAGAGTTATGACTTGTTCTAAATTGGCAATAAATGATTGCTTGCCATTTGAGCTTTCTTGTCGAGCCGTAGTCACATACTTGTCTTGTCGCTTTATGCTTTGATGGTTAAATGGCTTATTTTATTCATGTCAAATATTATGATAAAACTCTTGAACGATGAAATTGCTTATTAGATATTGTTGAGATGAGTTGAATTACATGATTGCCATAGCCATCGTTTAGCCATTTGTGCTTTTATCCAACCTTCTATTATTATGATTCGGTATTTTGATTATGGCTGCCTCATCCATACATCTATAAGTTTGAGAGTTGAATATTGTGAAAAAATGAGAATTTTGGCATTGCGGATATTATGAGCAGATATTGGTTATTAATGATGTGTGGATCGAGTTGCACGCTGCAACAGTATTATGTGTGGATCGGGTGGCACGCCGCCAAGGGTATATGTGTGCATCAGGTGGCGGCATGCCATGAGTATATGTATGGATCAGGTGGCACGCCGCCACGGGCACATTATGGAGCGGGTGGCACGCCGCCACAGCAATATTTGTGGATCGAGTTGCACGCCGCAACGGTGTTTGGATTGGTACCGTCCCTCCAGAGTCATGTGATAACCCATGTTACCTTGGGCCTTGTTAGCACAGGCATTGAGATTGGTGTTGTGAGATTTGGTATTGGATTGTGATCATGCACTGGCAGCCTCGACTCATGCAATTGTTGTTATATATATTTATATGACTGTGGACTGACTCATATTGTGATTATGAAAGATTGAGATAGCTGATATTGTTCTATCCCTGTGATTGTGAGCATGCATTGGTAGCTTAGACTCATGCAGCGACTCTTATATATGTGTGAACTCGTATCATGATTATGGAAAGAACTGAGATGATTGACATACCCGATTGATGATATCACGTTTTATTTCAAGCTCTATTTATGCCTTATATGCTTATTGAGTTGTTAGTAGGTGTAGGAGTCGGCCTCTTGTCCGACTTCTTCGAGGCTAGACTTGATACTTACTGAGTATCATGGTTTTGTACTCATACTACACTTCTCCACATTTTTGTGCTGGTTCTTATACTGGTATTTGCGATACCCCTTTAAGCTGAGTAGAAGTATTATTGGAGACTTCGTAGTGAGCTACTTGACTTGATCAGATCCACAACACATGGAGGTCCCTTTTCCTATGTATTTGTTTTTGTCCATGTGTTTATTTTCCGGACAAATGTATTTGGTTCAATTGATTCTAGTTGCTTTTATTATATGCTCGTGATGTAGTGACACCGTGTTTTGGGTGTTGTGGTCGTGTTTAGACCTTGTCATTGATTATGTATTTATGACTTTGAATTGAGATTTATTGCGCATTGTTACTTATATCATGAAACGGTTATAAGGCTTAATAATTGGATTCTATTATTGTTGTTGTGTATTGGCTTGCCTAGCGAGCGGGTTAGGCAACCTTTGGTGGGAGTTTGAGTCGTGACAGAATCAATAATTTATTCTCACTAGTCCAAGTCTTGTTTCACAGAGTTACCTGGTATTTGTACGGGTAGAAGTAGTACCTACCAGGTGAGTTAGTTAAAATGCACACTCATTAGCCTGAAAACCACAGTCATCACAAAAAAAAAAACCTATGTTTTCTATCATAAACAAGCTTGCATATGTGGTTTAGAAAACAGCAACATTCAACTGAACAAAATAAAGCATTTACCCTTCTTGGTTAGGCCTATACAATCACGTGCCGAGTCAATTTTATACTTTATCATATGAAGGAATAGAATAAATACCTTGACCATAGTATCCCGCACAAAATCATATTCAAATCGTTTTAATTGAAGCTGAAGAACAGGAGGGAAATCAATGAAAAGTACACCTTTTCGAGCATCCTGAAAAATGGAAATTCTGGTAAATAGCAATAAAGATAACAGATACCACTACACTAATACCCAACCAATTACGACCTCATTTTCTTTCTTTTTCCTTTTTTGGATGAATACAAGGGAAGGTAAAGAACTGCTGCTTGTGGGATTTGAACCCGCGTTGGCAGCAAGACTTTTCAAAAGGTGGCTTAGAGCAAGTGAGGTTAAGGTGGTCCCTCACATGTACAACAAGCCTCATTTATTTGATAGGAGGCAAAACCAAAGTAAGAAACACCAAACACCTATAAGGTGAGTTTGCCAAATTTTCCCTCTTTGATTTTTGTTCTCTGGTGAGTAACCCATTAGTATCTTTTTGTCCCCTCCATTCGCTTAATTTCAAGTTCCAGTTATAAGCTTCCCTTCGGTGATTCACAGTAATGTCACAAATTTTACATCTAAAAAGCCTGCAAACCATAAACAAATTCAGGGATGGGATTTGACCTGTAAACCATATTTTTCTGCATGGTACTTATTATCACCCTCAAGGCGTTCTACTTCAACATACTTGTCAAAAGAAGCATAGACATCACGACACCCTTTGACATCAAGCTGCAAATCTGTCAAAAGAGACATGATTGCAAGCTAAATTGATAGTGAGGCATCTCGTATTTTACAAAGAAAAAAAAAAGAACCCCATGAGAAATTAAATACTGGTTCCATAGATACCATAAAAAGATTCTTTTCTTGTTGATTTATAGTCCACATTGATACATTCAATATAATTCATATGATGCCCCTCGAATAATTGTTGTATTGTGCCCTCTACAACGGTTCCCTGAGCCAAAGAAACCAAAATAATCTGTAAATAATTATCTCACTTCTAAATAAANTAATCAGCTCACTTCTAAATAACCGTACCATCCAAGATGCATTTGTTCTTAGGGTTCATGTGTGTAACCATTACAAATTACCTTCATCTTATCTTCAAGTTTTTCACAAAGAACCCTGTTGAGTTCTTGTACATCATGCTGCATGAAAGAATCATATGTATCCCATCCAAAGGACTTTGTCAACTCTTTTGTTGCTACACTAGTGTCACTGTATTGTAGCTTATAAAACAAACTCTGTAGAGCCAAAGGGATGCTCCCGGATGGATTGTCATTCTCAGTTGTTGGCATATGATACACAGCCTGAAACATGTATAAATTAGTCATCTCAGGAAAATTAATTATCAACGAAAATTGTCATGCCTTTCAAGGCTAACCTTTCTAAAGTAAGGAATATGGTACAATGTTTGGAGGAGAGAGTTCATATAACAAGTAGCTCCCTGATTCTTAAGGCCAACACAACCAGTTTCCTTCTTCGAGTCATGAGACCAGTAATCAATGACCCTACGCACAGCAACATCAGCTTCAACTATTACTGTATCATCCACAAGATAACCTCTGATAGGATCATATAATTCACTAAGAGGCATGAAGGACGTGAAACCCCAGTCACTCTCTCTTGCATTAAACTGGTGTTGAGTATCTGCCAAAATAATCATCTTTTGGAAATAAGTTTCCGAGATTGCACCAAGAAGGTGCCAATATATACAGAAATATCAGCCACAAGAATCATACATTAACAAAAAACCAGCAGTCTACTTACCAAATCAAGATATTTATTTGACATAACTAGACCCCTCAAAAAGGAAAGAACACCGAAAATAGCATCTATAAGGAATAAAAAGCTGAAGAGGTATAAATTAGAGATTGCACGGAGTCGCACAAGCTTATTGTAAAATGAAAAGGAGGATATCAAGGATACTCTCAAGAGAAGATGCCTATAGAATTAATATTATCCTTCCAATTTATTTTCCAATTATGATTTCATTCTATCTTTCCGTGCAAAGGTTTGTAAATCTTGGCATCGTCTAATTTTCTCTAATAAGCTGTTCCAAAATCCTTTATCATTAGAGCTTTAAAGCTTTAGCTCGATAACATTTATAGCATTTTCACATTCGACTTCAGAGAACATCATAGATTAAAAATATTGCCAACAATATTCCAGTCAGATCATTTCCAAAGGAACATAGACCATCCACATCCTTCCTGCAGTCATCCACATCACAACAAGATATTTACTGATCAAAAGAAAGAATAAGGGGATATTTAATCTGCCATCCGAAAACGAATGAGAACTCAGATAATCAACTAAATTTGTCTGTGCAAGCACATCAAGCAGCAAATTGGAAGAAAACAGAAAAACAGTTGATTATAGACTATAACTATTTATCTTATCAAAAAAATAGTCAAATTAAATTTCCCTTCACTTCCAATGTAAATCATTGAAGAAAGAACCAGAACCAGAATTTCTTGTACTAATGCAACTCAAATCCTTGTTTCTTTTTTATTGGGAAAATGCATAAGTACCCCCTCAACCTATGATCGAAGTTTCAACTACACCCCTTTCCTTTTCGAGGATCCTATTACCCTCCTGAATTATTATAAAGTGAAATTGTTGCCACCCTAAATGCTGACGTGGCAAAGTGTGTATTTCACTCTCTCAAAGAGAGTGAGAAGCCCAAAAATTTACTTGCTGGTCTTTTTCTTTTTCTTTTCTTTTTCTTAATCTTTTGTCTTATACACTTTTTTCTTCTTCACGAGATGGCAACCACCATTAAAAGGCATTTAGCTCCATTTACAACACCATTCCTTTGAAAATTTATTTTTTAATTTTAGATTAGTATTTTTCCTCAAATTTTTATGGGTTCATTCTTATCTTTTCATTAGCAAGAAAATAATTTAAATTTGATTATATGTACACGTGTCATCTTTTTATTGGATATTACACTTAATTAATTATGACAATAACTTAAAAAATATTTTTTCCTTTTCTTTTCGAAAATATACAATTCTTTTCTTAAAAATTCAGCAGCAACGATGGCCAAAGAAATTATCATTACATGAATATTATTTTTTGACCGAAATCGATATCGGAGAATTAAAATTTTTGACTTCATTGTTGTCATGTTGCTACTAGTCATGAAAGAATAGAATAATAGATCAAAATAAGGAACATAATGAGAGAGAAAATAAAAGAGTGACAAAATATACATTGGCAAGCGAGTGTGTTTCACCTCCCAAGAAACATCTGATTATGACATTTCTAGGAGATATTTATTCCGTTTTAGAATAGTTTTGGGGGGTAATAGGATTTCCGTAAAGAAAAGGTGTGTAGTTGAAACTTCGGTCATAGGTTGAGGGGGTATTTATGCATTATCCCTTTTTTATTTGTCCACTCCTTTTATATTTATTTTTAGGCCAAGTAAGATGGGTTTCAGTAATTGCACCAAGAAGTTGTTGCGTGCATGCATCCAAGGGTATGGCCTAGTGGTCAACAAAGTTGGTTGAGTTACCCGGTCCCTGTGATGGTAGGAGATAGCAGGTACCTCGTGAAATTAGTCGAGGTGCGAGCAAGCTAGCACAGACGCAACGGTTATAAAAAAAAGTGCTACATGCACAATGCTTGCTAACTGTAAACCTATACCAAGAAACACTGATTCTTTGAGCTAATACAGAATTTTTCAGAGCATCCAATAGGATATTGGAGAATGAACGCCAAGTAGAAAAAAATTTAATAAGAAAGACGGCATAAATTCTTCACAATGAATAATCTCTTCTATGGACACAATAATTAAATCTGGAAACTCTACCAGATGATTGATTAATGAAGCCTTAGTCAACATCCTAAAATGACTAATAAGGGGCGGCTTAATGATCAGATATTGTAAGAACTAATGAATCTCCTTTCATCAACATCATCCCCACGAAGTCCAATGGTCCAATATAACATAGGCCTTTCTAAGAAGTACCAGAAGTGCACAGAATGATGCTAAAGGTGAACCTGCTACTAAGTTTTCCTCCAATAAAATGAAGCACATCTTACAATTTGCATTTACACATGCCTATACCAACAAGACAGCTCATGCAATCTCAAGTTTCCCCTCACTTATTATAGTTGGAAGCATATTTCGGTTTTTTTAATCAGTACAGAAAATTCCATTCAGAATGGGAGCACTAGGTAAGTGATGAAATACGTACATCAAAATCGAAAGAGGAATTTCATTATTCCAATATGGACCTAATGAAATCTGTTAAAGAATTTGCCTCATTTACATATTCCATTCTACATCAAAACTAGAGAACAGTGTAAATTTAAGCTTGAAATAAACCCGGGTTTTCCTTCAAAATATATCTTGATTCTCTCTTTCGGTAATGTCCACTAAATGCAGGTGTACAGTGTTCCAAATTCTTTTCTGTTATTTGCTCAATCCTTTTCTGCGCCAGCATCTGGCACATTTCACAATTAGTTAAAAATAAAAGTCCTAATTCAAGTGGGGTGGACATACATTAATCGCTCAGTTCTTTATCATCAAAAAGCTAACAGTTAAGCACATGATACCGCCTGAAATAAGTAAACCAGGAGAATCTATTATTTCACAACTTCTCTCCAAGTAAAAAGCGACCAAACATATATCACTTCTTAAACCAACAGTTAATATTTTCTCATGCTTGACTTGGTCAAAGTTTTCACAAATTCATATCTCTAGTTCAATAAGCAAGATTTCTGACCTTTCCTCACTGTAAACTTGTTATGGACTCGGTTGAGAACAGCTAAGCTAAACTGAGCATGTCTACTCCACCCGTAAGGCAATGCCAGTGAATCCGCAACATCTAAATACATTGACAAATGGTCCACATTGTTCCCTTTAGGAAATATCAATATCCTCCTGCCACACATAATGTACCATTAAGGACATTGAATCACCTATGTATTCAAATAATAAAGCAATCCATCAAAAAAAAAATTAGATACTTAAAAGATTACCATTTATATCCTCCCACATGGAAAACATCCGAGTATAGCTTCTTTGTATTCAACCTTGAAAAGTTTTCTATTGTCCATGTGAACCGAGCAGATGGCGGATCATCCACTGGCGGTCCATCCACCGTACTAGCTGTATCCGCAGTCGCAACTACCAACAATAAAAAGTGCAAGTTCAAAAGAAAATCTCAAAATCCACAAAGTCCACAATAATCATCCAGAAACATGCTAGTAGCAGATAAAAACAAAAGAAAAGTGGATTCAGATAACTACAACCCACCAAAACTACTGCAATATATACATGAGTTTAAGTTCTATGTATTGACAACAAAAACAACAACAAACCCAGTAGTTTCCCACAAGTGGGGTTTGGGGAGGTTAAGATGTACGCACCCCTATCTCTGAAGGAGCAGAGAGGCAAGTTCTATGTATTGATAGTTTAAAAAATATTAACACAACCAGGTTGCTTTTTAAAAAAAAAACTCCCAAGTTAGGAGAATCTATAGTGTTTCCACACTTTCTCTCCAGCGTGACTCGAACACAGGACCTAACGGTTGTTGGTGGAGTTGCTTTTACCAACTGAGCAAGTCTCACTTGTCAGGTAAAAATAATATCACAAAGGGTGGGATTATCTAATACATAGGATTTTAACTAATATCAACCCCCAGTGCGTAAAAATATTTACACTATCAGGTCACCCAAAAAATTCTACAGGTAACCTCCATAAAAGGTGGGATTCACAATATGAAAATAAGGCATGCTACCTGCTACAATATGATCTAATAGCGCCACAAAAATGTACACCGTCGGTAGATATAAGTTAAACTCATTAGATAATTACAGGTAAATCTCTTTACAAACATTAAAGAACCTGCTATCACAAGTTTATATTCACTGATAGTCTAAAACAATCTTTACAGTGCATAAGCTTAAATCCTATATCAGTGTAGGAAAAGTTAAAAAAAAAACCTTCCATTGGCTGAGGACCTTCAACAGGAAAATCTGAATTAGGAACGAGCATCTCGTCCTCTTCTGGCTGCCAAAAAAAAAACAACTAAAGTTTAATATTCGATCTATCAATACTTCGCACTTTCGATTTAACCTAAATCCCTATAATTTCACCATTGCCGCATTTGAATCAAGACGTTTTGACATAAAATTTCACTCCGCCATCGCAGCTAATAGAAAATTCGCCACATATTCAATCCAATAACTATCAAACTCTACGAAACTCTACTGAAAAGAAGCTCCTTTTCACAGTTTAACAAAAAATCACTTGGAAGTGAATTTCCGCTGTAAGAAGGTGCGCGAGACAAGAGAAAGATTACGTACGTCTACTGGAGGAGGAGTCATGAGAGTCATTGCCGGAGAACTGTGACCGGAAAATCGGCGATTCGGCGATGAATAAGAAGAAAGCAATGTGTAGAAGCGATCGAATCGATCCAAGGACTTTCTTGAGTTCGAGTCCTTGGGCTAGGCGACGAAGAAGAGAAATTAGTAGTGAAATTAAATTTTAAAAACAAGATTTATAATTGCCAAGTGTAATTTGGTAATTTAATCGGTATTTTGTTAGTGTATTTTACCTTTTTCTTTTTTGATAGAACACAATATTTACTGTGTTCTATCTTATTGTAGTTGGTCATTTGCTTTACCTCCAATATTTTCAAATTAGGCTTATTACATTGGGTTAAAAAAATTTAACGTGTAAATTTTAAAAATAGAAATACATTATTTTGTTTTGTAGCATTTCAATTATATAAGACGTTAGTATTTGATTTAAGAATACAAAACATGCAATTGTAATAAAAACAAGTACTAATTTTATTTGAAAGTTAAGACTATTCAAATATAAGCGTACTTTGTTGTATTTGATATAGTATTTTAAGAACAAATCAATAACAATAAAGAACATTGTGTTTTTCAAGTTTATTCTCTTTTTCGCTTTGAGTGTGGTTGGAATTTGTTCTATTTTAAGGGAATAATTGTTGTCAAAGTTAAAAAAAAAAAAAATCCCAAATCAATGTTATAGCCTGTTTGGCCAAGCTGGAAAAATCAGCTTATTTTGAGAAGTGTTTTATTCAAAAGTGCTTTTGAAAAAAGTATTTTTGTAGAGAAGCAGTTTGTGTTTGGCTAATCAGTCTGAAAAGTACTTTTGAGAAATAATTTGTGTTCGGCCAAGCTTTTTAGAAAGTGCTTTTAAGTGTCAAATTACGAATAAGGACATGAATAGATTTACTTAATAATTAATATTATAAGTAAATAAATAATCTCAAAATTTTGTTATTACATGCAATAATTAATAAAAAATTCATTTTATTCAAGTAAAATATGAAAATAAAATTAAAAAGTACTTAATTCTTTTAATATAAGTTAAATATATTAAAATTCCTTCAACAAATATAAAAGCATTCATCCCTAAAGTTACTATATATTAAAAAGTTTTCCTAAAAATAAGAAGAAATATTTATAAATTAATATCCTAAGTATTAGGTTTAAGGGTTATTTTGGTATATACTATATTTTGTTAAGGGTATTTTAGGTAAGAAGAAAAGCCAAAACTGCTTCTGCTTCTGCTTTTGGAAAGAAGCTACTTTTTTCTGCTTCTCTGAAACTGCTTCTGCTTCTTCCCAAAAGCACTTTTTTTCCCCAAATAAGCTTGGTCAAACACCTCAAGTTAGGAAAAAAAATGCTTTTGGGAAAAAAAAAATGCTTTTGGGAAAAAAAACACTTTTGGCCTCTTGAGAAGCTTGGCCAAACAGGCTATTAGAGTACTTGAGGCCTCATTTGTTTGCACTTAATGAGGGGAAGTGCACGGTTAGCCACTAATAACATATATATTTACTTTTAAGCCACTATTTAAAATGTCTTTAGTTTTTAGCCATTGCTTTAATAAACTTTACCTGCTCGGACGAAAACACCCTTCTGTTCATAATAGTTCAGGACCAAGTATCCTTAACTTTTGAACTTACAACTCTAATAGCCTGTTTGGCCAAGCTGGAGAAATCAGTTTATTTTGAGAAGTGCTTTTGAAAAAAGTACTTTTGGAGAGAATCAGTTTGTGTTTGGCTAAT